TGAATGTTAAGCAGCCACCAAGGAGGTAAAGGGAAGCAGTCACCTCTGGAGGATCTGGGAAGCGACAGCCAGTCCTAATAACACATGGAGCTCGGCAGTCAGGCAAGAAGCAAAGAGAAGGGTCGCCCCAGGGCACTTTACAAATAAAATTTACTACAATTCTACTGAGCAAATTTTGTGTACTCTTCAGAAAAGTTGCGCCTGGGGAGCATGAGACAGATGGATGCTCATGAACGGAATATTGTTGCCAGACGGGAGCTGAAGGCTCCACAGGTGGGGCCATCCTGGGCAGGGGCCCTCCCAGGGGGCTCGCCTCTGCAGAAGAGAGGCACAGGAGCCCCCGTTGCTGCATCTGTCCTCCTAGTGATGTGGAGGGCTGGACCACCAATCCATCCCTCCAGTCCAGCTCACGCTCAGACAAACACAGCTTATATATACGCACACAGGCTGGCATGAGGTCATTTAGCCTTCCTAATAGAAGCAGCAGGATGGGTGCTCCTGGGCCATTCAGGGGAACAAGCCACAGGAATATAGGCAGGGTAAAAATGGCTTATTGAGCTCACTGGAAACGTTCAGCCTTCTTTCTAGACTTTTCCAGGCTGTCTCTCCTTCCATAAACTCTTTTTAGAGCATGAGGCTTTTATTTATTTTTCTGAAGCTAACCTTTTCTCTTCTCAGGGCCAAAGTCACCGAAGTTGAAGCTGGGAAGGGCAACTAACATTGTCGAGGGCCTACTGTGTGCTACACATTGTGTGGTTCCCGTGAATACATTTTCTTTAATTCTTACGACGACTCACATTCTTCCCACTGCGTAAGCAGAATGGAAAGCTTAGACATAATGTGCACGATGAATTACTTGTGCAATAGTTTGTAAATCATTTGCACAAGGTCCCAGTGCTACAGAGGGGTGGAGGGTACACTCAGACTTGGGTCTTTTTCGCTCCAGATCCCATATTTTCCTACCAGCCAACCTGCTTCCCACCGAGCAGACGATGTCCCATCCTCTTATTGAGTCTCGCTGGCTCCCACATTGATGCTATTGCCCGGGGATCCTTTCTGGGACTTGCCACAGACTTACCGACTCAACCCTGGAGAATATTAAGTGGATTATATTTGGCAGTGAGGCCTAAGGGAAGCGGTTCTGCTGTCTGTTGGGGCTCTCAGCCAGAATCACCAAGGCTGAGAGGCAGGCATGACAAGAAGCAAGGAATCTCTCCTACCTGGGGTGGAATGTGCTACCTGTCCTTCACCAGAAGAGGAAGGAGACCGAAGAGGGGCCACAAACAGGCTTCACGTGGTGCAAACAGTGGTAACGGAGAATGCCTGGAATTCCCCTTTTGTCCTCCCACAGCCCTGGGGTGGGGAACTGGGATGCAAAGATGCTCTGCCTGTGCAAAGAAATACTCTGCAAAGCCACAGGGATGCTGACAAATACGTGAAAGTATTTTTCTCCTACACTGCCCTCGTCTGGAGCTTCAGCCGAGACAACACTGGAGGCGTCTTTCCACAATAATAATTAGGAATTCAGCTCCTTAAAATAATCACCAAAATGAAAAGCCCTTCAGTTCTATTCCGGATGGCTTTCCTTCCTGCTACATCTATGTGCTGATTGTGAGCATGAGGTCACTAGGGTTTGCTGTACGCCCCCTTTGGTTTGTGGTCAGCCGATGCTAGTAAATTTGACGAGGGCTGTTCTGCAAGGCAGAAAAGCGAAGGATTACAGAAACGGATGAGGCCCAAGATACTATCTTGTACCAGGAATCATTTGCCCGTTTTAGAGATGAGAGAAACCGCAGCTCACAGAGGTAAAATGACCTGTCTCGTGGCAGACCAGAACCCAGGCTCGTGGTTTCTCCCCCCCACGCCGCGCTACATTCCCCGGGGATGCCCACGGTGGGTTTTACGAGGTCAAGCATCCCTGTGGTTCTCCTTCCACGTAGAACTTATGCTTAGGGTCATAAAGCCATCTGTGGAAAACCGTCCCTTCTTCCACAACTTCCCCAACCAAATCTGTGATTTTGCTAATTCAGTTAAACAATTTGCACATTTCTAAATCTCCCAGTGGTTGCAGTGTTAGTGATTTCTAACCAGCTGAGCAGACACGGACTGAGTCTTCAGGCAGGGAGGGGAACCCCTCAGAGGGACACTGATGGGGGAGGGAAGCGCTCAGCCCCAGGAACGTAAATTAAATCCAGATCTTAGTTCTCTTTCCCTTCCCCTCTCCCCCTCGTGCTTTCTCTCTCCGATTCTCTCCTGATTCTGATCCTGTCACTTGTGGCAAACACAGCTGCTAGAGTATTTTAGCTGTGATGATGTCAGCCTGTTTCTGATAGGCTTCTCGGTAAAGTGACAAATCATTGGTCATGTCGGGACCTTGTACTTTCGTCTCTGCAGCTTGAAACCCAAGCCACCTCTTTTAGCAGATCACAGCCCTCCTGCCTTTCTCTGCAGAAGCCCTTCCCGGCATGCAGCAGGACCACACCTGGCGCCCTGACAGACCTGTGAACAGGCCGTGACAAATACTCTACCTTCTAATTTGCACCTTGGCTGTCAACAAAGAGACTAACGGTCTGGCTACGGGAAGGAAACGAGACTTCACGTGGAAGCCAATTTCTCTATCATTTAAGTGTTCATTCCACAGAGGGGAGCGCGGGAAAACACACAGAGATGCTTCCTCTCTAAGAACCGCCAGGTCAACCCGAAACCTCAAGAGGCCTGTGAAGCTCTCGCCTAGGAGGCTGCCAGGACCTTCGAGATGCAGCCCACAGCTAGAGCTGCTCTTTATTCTCAAGTTGAAAGAGATGCTGGTAAGGAACCAGTAGCACTTCAAAATAACGCCTCTTTCCATGCCTACCTGTGTTCACAATAACGCTTTAAGGATTGAAAGTACCATGAAAAAACACATTTGCTTCTCGCTCTTGTTTATTTCCCATGCTTCACCTCGGGTATGTTAAAAGACAGCTTTGCTAAAGATAACTCATTCTCTTTCTACTAGTCCCCACCCCTAATCCTTGTAGGAAAGTGGAAGTGAGCAGCAACTATGGATGTGTAGTGAGTTCTAAATAATGATGCCATTTTTTTAAAAATTCTGATTTTTGCTAATTTTTTTTTTTTTTTTTTGGCTACGAAGATTCGCCCTGAGCTAACATCCATCGCCAATCTTCCTCTTCTTTTTGTTTTCTCCGTATGTGGGTTGCCACCACAGCATGGCCACTGACAGACGAGTGGTATAGGTCCATGCCGGGGAACTGAACCTGGGCCACTGAAACGGAGTGCACCCATTTTAACCACTAGGCCACCAGGGCTGGCCCTAAATTTTCTTTTTTTAAATCAGAACTTTGAGAAATATTTCTTAGGCCTTACCAAAGACTGTAAACCCACAGTGACATCTCACCATAAAAAACAAAAGTCTTAGGGGCTAAGAGCTCTTGGCAATGCAGGCCCCCTGACACTGTGCAGGATCCCACATCCGGTCATTCACAAGCAGTTCTGAAAAACACTTCGGAAAACTGGTCTCATCCCCACCACTCTTGATCTTTTTAAAATATACTCAAAACAATTCAAACTATTAACCAGTTTATCTTTTTTGTTTGTTTTATTTTCTTTGAATGTCCCAACTATCACCTATGCCACGGCCATTTTCAATTCAAACTTGAAGGAGGCACTGTCACATGTGAGTGTGTCAAAGTCCTTGATGGAAACATTCCCGGGGAGACTGAGGCTCTACATCCTGGGAAGTTCCCAGTCTGGGGGCCAAACCTGTCTGACTCTGAGCAACCCGGGCAGTGAAATTGCTGTTTCATACAAATGAGCTGTGGGATACATGCGTTTGGGCGATTTAAGAGACTGGAGAAGAGGGAACTGAAGGAGCCCATGGGAATTATGAGAGTTATCATAGTTCCGTGTTTTAACATGACAGCTCGGCTGCATCTGACCCTTGGGGCTCCCATATAGCACAAGCCCAGCAGATACCTGGGACAGCCCTGACTTCTTGGATTATATTAATTATGCCTTTTATTTTCTATAATCTGATGCTTTGACATCTTGGGGACTTGCTGACTCTGGAGGGACTGCCTCCCCAAAGATTAGCTGATTCCCAGAGATAGCTGACAACTCCCCTGGGAGACTGTCCTTCATCCAAACACCCATACCCACCACCTCCTCTATTGGCTCCCACACTCTGGGCCACTGTCCATCTGCCCTGATCATCTCAGGGCCAGGTCCCAGACAACCAGGCACTGCCCACGTGTCCCAGAGCCCTGAAATTACTCAAATCAGCCAATCCTAAGCCTACTTATTCTGCCTCACCCATTCCTTCCCACGGAAACCACAATACAGCCTCCTTCATGTTCTCTCCTCGCTCCCTCTGCCCCCTGACTGACCCTGATGCTTCCCCTGTGGCCCTGCATGGCATGACACGCCCCCCCCCTTGGGATCAGAGTATAACAGACTATCTCTTCAATGGCAGTTGTGCCCTCATCTGTTGGCCTCACCCCACCTGAATAATAATAATAAAACCCACATTTAAAAACATGGATGTTGGAATGGGATGTGGTGACTCTAGCATCTAATGTTCTCGATGTGACCAGCACTGTCTTTTCCTGACAGAAAAACGGGCAGAATGACCACTAGAAGGGCCTTAAGGCTTGCAGCTTTTCTCCATCAGGGCTCCTCATCAAAACCACAGAACAAAAAAATAACTGGAGTGGTGATTTTCTTAACTGTCCAGAGGATAGTACCTGATTAGATGGTACCCACTCTAGACGCATAGAAGTTAACTCATTACAAACAGCAGATGCCTTGGGGCATTAGGGCTTCTCTTAGAGAATATGCTTGGGAAAGATTATGAGTTTAAAAGCTAAACATAAATGAAAACCCTTAATCCTCCCCACAGCATAGACGGGTCTGCCTCTTGGAAGTAATTCATCTTGCCAGGAAACGATGAAGGCGGCAGGTGCGGTGGGGCATCCCCCTACCTGTGCGACCTGGGTGAACATTACCTGTGCTCGGTGCTCCCCGACGGCAAACTGTATCACGGCGACGCCTGGGTGGTGGCTGTCCTCGATCCTCTCTACAGTGCTGGAGTCGATCTTCAGGTCGTTGCTGATCTCTGCACTCTGGATGAAGTCTTCCGTTTTCAAATCCTCCACCTTCTTCAGCTCCCCATTGGCCAACTGGATGATGGAGCCTTTCATGAAGTAGGGAGGCAGCGTGGGGGGGGCCGCGGCAGGGGACGCCACAGACTGCACCACGGGCAGGTGGATCTGGGCCTGCACCACGGCTGGGTAGGCGGCCTGGGTGACCAGGGCCTCTGGGCTGAAGTTCTCGCTCTTGGGAAGGGCGGTGGTGACGAACGTGTGAGGCACTGCAGCAAACTGGGGCGACGACGTGACGATCGCAGAGGCTGCTCCCGACCCCTCCATGTCGGCGCTGCCGACCGGGATGAGCAGGGGCTGGGTGCCGGGGATGACCAGGTGCGGGGGCAGGCTGCCGGCGTACGTGATTGCCTGCTGCTGGCTGCTCAGGTAGCCGATGACAGGCGGCTGAGTCCCCGCGTAGAAGGCCGTGGCTGGCAGTCCAACCGGGAGTGGCTCCGAAGCGCTATGTGTGGTCTGAATGACCGTGTGGGGTGACAGCGTGGCGACGGCGGCGGCCTTCACGCCTTCGGGGCCCAGAGCCTGTTGGGGTGACAGGGCATAGGATCGGTGCCCAGGCTTCCCTAAATGCAGGCCGCTTTTGTCATTGAGGGTGGAGGGGGAGGCCTCCCGGTGCGTGACCTGCCGCACTTCCAGGTCGGCTGCGGGTGTGTTGCTGTTGGGCAGGACCATCACAGAGGCCCGGACCCCCGAGGAGTCCCGACTGCTGTAGTCGGCGGGGCTTGGGTGGACGACCACGTGCCTAGACTCGTACGGGTGAGGAACTGACTTGCTGCCCGCCTTCACCAGGCCCAGGTCGGCCGAGGTGGGAGCCCCGTACCTCCGGCCCTTCTCCATCTCACCGTTCAAGATCTCCTTGGCCTGCATGGCCTGCTGCAGCCGGCTGCTCTCGGCTTTCTTGGTGGCCTCCCGAGGAACAAAGTGGCTGCCAGAGTCGGTGTATTGCACTACCACCTGGGGGGAGGGCCCCAGGGTGAGTGTGTGTGGGATCATCGTCTGGTGGGGGTGGAGGTGGACGGGGATGGCTGGAGGAGAGGCCGCACGCCCGGCGTTCTGCGGAGAGCTGGAAATGTGGACATACTGGTTCTGCTGGGTGGGTGGTGGGGACCCGGGGGTGATGAGCCCCGGAGTCCTGCCTAAGTGCTGCTGCTGCGGCTCAGCCTTGTGTCCTGAGGCTTGGCTCAGACTGCCCATGTTGGCCAGCAGAGTGGAATAGGCCTCCAGCTGGGAGCGCTGGGATGGAGTGGTGGCCGCCGCGGCAGAGGCCGCTGCACTGGTGACGGGGCTGGCCGTTGGGGAGATCAGCTGGGAAGGGATGAACCCAGCGTAGGGCCCGCTGTACTGGGAGGACCCAATGAACTGGAAAGTGTGCGGCAGGTGAGCATACTGCACCGGGGACACCGGAGTCCCTGACTGCGGGGGAGGGTAAGCCGAGGGCAGCGTCGTGGTCGCCGGCACAGACCTGGGCGCGCCAGGCGGGGAGTAGTCCAGCCCCGTGGACAGCGCTTTGTGTAAACCTATTCCCTGTTGTAAACCAAGCTCCCCAGAAGTCCCCGCCGGCCCGTGCCTCCCGCCCCCGTGGCCTCGGCCACCAGGGGTGCCGGGGAGCCATGCCACGCCCTCCGCCCGGTGGTTGTCGCTGGGCAGGACTGTGGCCTTCTCCTCGGAAGGCCGGCTGGTGGCGGGGATCTCGCGCTTCTTGGGAGGCAGGCATTCGTTGCTCCGCTCTTGGCTGGATTTCATTTTTCGCCGTCCCCCCTCCACGGTGACTGTTTCACTGTCTGGCTGGCTCTGATTTTAGTCTGATAAACAGAAAGTCACATTTGATGTCAGTAGGGGATCCAGGCTCTTCATGAGGAATCATCTCCCCGTGGGTGCGATCCGCCAGCAGCAGCTCTGGAATCTGGGAAAAGGAAGAGGGTAGTGACAGGGGAAGAGGACAGGGAGGAGAGAGGGAAGGAGGAAGAGGAAATCAAAACATCAGCACTGGAAAAGAACATCCTCGGCAAGATTAAGACTAGGCCTCTGGTTTCAACGAGAATTCCAAAAACCTGGTGATAGCCCCAGTGTTAAAGCAGATCTAACAGTGGCTGCGTTGGGTAGCACTTTGGGAAGATTATTAAGACATCGAGCAAGCCAAAACCTTAAAGCAGGTTCCTTTTTACGAAGTTAGCAACTCCATAAAGACTTGTTTCTCAATACCCTCCCCTCCTTTTTTCTCTTTTGCTTTTACAGGGTAGACAATGCGAAATTTCTTAAGTTTCCTTTTTAGAAACGCTGGTCCCGTTCCTCACCTCTTCTTTACCTCGCTGGAAAATCAAATGAAGCCCAGAGGGAGGATGACATCAGTGAAGGTCGGCCAGACCCTGTCCTCAGGGCCAGCGCGGAGCAGGTCAGGAGCGGAAGCCCTAAGCGGACTTCACATCTGCCATAGGCACTGCCCAAAGATTCCACCTGACTCAGGGGCCATACTGGATCTACAGCGATTCTCTCTTCCCTAACACACACATGCACACAAACACACACACACACACACACAATATACACATGCCAACTTAGCAGAGGCAGCCAAAAATAATCCTGGTCTCTACAAGTTTCCCAAGAATTCCCAGTCCAGCTACTCATATGGTAACAGAAAGCCAAAAGTAATTTATGAGACAGTTAAAAAACGAATATGGTTATGGTTAAAAAAAAGAATGCAACAATGGGGTGGATGCATTGAATGTTTCCTTAATGGCCGTTACATGTCGGCTTCATCCCTGCCTCCTTCTTCCTTTCCAGGCCGTCTCTGAATTTTCTCCTCACACCCTGCCTCCCCTATCTCCTTGGAAAGAGTCAACCCACCAATAACCCTAGAGATGAAACCTCTCTCAGACCAATCAGACCTGTGGGTTTAAACCTAGCCGTACAAAGAGTGAGTCTGGAGCCAGGTCTTATGGGCACATAGCTCAGTCTCTCAGAAACCACTGAACTCCAAGTCACCAGACTATGTGGCCAAATGGGTGCCCACCTAGCAAGAGGCAGCACATCAATGTCACAGGAACCAGGGTAACAAGCAGCAGATGTGAGCGCCCCCTACAGGCGGCAGCTGCAGACGTGAGCGATTCATGTGCTGTGATCCTGGGAAGCGGTGGCATTGGGCTTCGGGAATTCCAGGCCTTGGGGTTTTACCGTTTTTCCTACCCAGCCTTTCTTTTCCATGATCTGATTTTTAAACAAACGTAATAAGGCAACAGCCTTCAGCATCCGATCCTGGTCCATGCTGAAGCAAAGGCGATATTTCTATCATAACACAGCCTCCCTTCTCTCTCAGCAGCCCCGCCCCCCGAAGCCACGTCTCTCCTACACAGCTCACACGCCCCCACCCTCATCTGTAATGTTTTTTCTTGGCCAGTGATTTAGTGGCCCTGGTTGGTTTTGCTTCAACATCACTAACAAACATCACGACGAAAGGACAAATGACACAAAAGAAAGCTTAATGATGGTGATCAAGTAAACACAAAGGTGGAGATTTAGAAATTTGGTGTCTCACCATCAAAGCACACTTCAATAAGAATAGGATTTCTCATATGACAAGAGAGGTACTTTAAAGAATGGGACAGAAACAAAAAATAAAGTTAAAAGATCTAAAATATTAATGCTGAAGAAATATTTGTGTCAAAGGAGAGATGTCAATTATTTGCCCTCCTGACCTGGGGCTATTATAAATCCCAGATAATTGCATTCTCATAGCCTTCTCTTATAAGGAGTGCAGCACGTAACTTACACGCAATACTTGCAAAATGATTACAAAGACAGTGCCGTTTTCAAAACAACAGAATAAAATTAAACTACAAAAGCATCAAAAACAGTTGCCCCTTTTGGCTGCTTAAAAAGTATTGCTAATCATCTTTATTCTTTAGATTTCAAGAGTCACTCTTAAGAAAAAGAACTGTATAAGCTCCCACATTCCCACACCAACTAGCAAAGAGTCATTTAGGAGATCTACTCCAAGTGAACTGTTCCATGCGCCCCCTGCTGGCTCTGCAGCAGCACTGATCCAATACAACCCCATAGGATTTCATTAGGGATGTTCAGGCAAGAGTGATATGTCAGAATCCGACATGAGAACATTTGCATACAGTGGGCCCAGCCAGTAAGGGAACAGGTTAATTAGCCCAAGGCAGCTCTAGGGAAGAAAAAGCAGCAGCATAAAAGTCCTTGCAAAGCCAAGCAAAATGTCAAACACTTTCAGAAAGAGGTCCATTAGCAATGCAAATGTAAGATGGTCTGTGCAACTGAACCACAGTATATACAACACTAGAAAACCCCTCTAAAGGTACTTTTTTAAGAACCCAGCTTTAGTGAATTTGACAAAGAACCCTAACTTGGTTCTAGTAGTGCCTTGGTTCATTTATACTGTTTATTTGAGAGACACTGGCTAAGTTGGCCCTAAGGATCTGTGTATCGACTCCAAGCTAGTCTTCTGCTAATGAGCCACTAAGACATATGGGCCTAACATGCAAATTCAAACGTATTCTTCTGAAAAGTGATCCACTGATAAACATGTTTTCCAGATAATACTAATGATCAATCAAGGATACAAAGATTAACGCAGAACTGGAGCAACCTGGGGCCAGACTGATAAAAATTTCAACCCACCCTCCTCCTATATTTAGAAGGACCATGTCTCCTATTTATCAGAGCAGCTTGGAGGAGATCGGGCTCTCTAATTCTGGGGCATGCATCCCTTCTCTGTAGCTGTCTGTACTGTCTGTATATCCCATCATGGGGAAGCACTGTAAGGGTAGGGATTGTGTCTTGCTGTATTTTCAGTAAACCACCAGAGGGCGCCACAGTATGCCACCACATCCCTGGTACATTTATGGGATTGAAAGAATGGAGAGGTAAATTATGAAGGTGGAAAAATATAGCAGGGAAAAGGAAGGGAGAGAGAAAGAGACAAGGAAAAGAAGAAAAAAGGAGAGTGGGATTTTTGCTTTTAGGGTCTCTTTCTAGTTGCAAATGGCTTCGATGTCCCCAACTGCCTTCTCACGGCTGAAACACACCAGTGGTTCAGCTAGGGCCCCAAGGATTTCACCTCTGGATGTACCTCCCACGATAGAAAGATTTCTCGGAAACATGGATCCACACGTGATTATATAAATGCTGTTACCAAAGAACCACATATGCAGATCCCACTGTTTAAACACTATTATTAAAAAAGGAAAAGTGGAAGGGGAGTTAATATACGAATCAAGACAAATTTATTTAGGGTTTACTACATATGGTTTACTTGATAATCACTGTTCTGAAAACATTCATCTTAAGCATCTTTATATCCACATCTACATCTATCTCTCCATCAGTATTTTAAAATGTAGCTCACGCTATGCAGAGCGTGGTCCTCAGACCAGCAACACCAGCATCCCCCAGCAGATTTAGAAATGCAAAGTCTCAGGGCCCACCCAGACCTCCTGATTCAGAATCTGCATTTTAACAAGATCTCCAGATGATTCATATACACAACAAGGTTTCAGAAACTCAGGTACAAGATTAAATTTTCTACTCTTAAGCTCCTAAGCAAAGTAACCACCTCTAGCCTCTTTCTAATGGAGTAGGTGCTGGGAAACCGAATTTGATGCGGCACGTGAACACAGAATTGATGGAGCCGTGGAGATAAGCAGCTGATATTTAGGTAAAATTCAGCTGTTTACTTGGGGGTCACCTGGACCCAATACAGTCCTAAATAACAAATGCTCCTTTTCTTCTCGTTCTTTCTATCTTCAAAAACTATAGGGAAACACTTTAAAAAGGCTATTATCATAAATTTTACCCATGACTCAATCATCTCCAGCAAGATAAACAAACTTTAACAATGGAAACCTGACACTTATATCTCTTAGAATTTGACACATATCGTCATTCCAAGATCAGGGCAATAAGCTGGGTTGCTCTGCCTCGCACCCCCGATCCTGTGAGTTTCTCAGTTTGAGTAAAACCCACGACTGTCTGGTATGTATGTCTATGCATAACAGAGGCATGGTTTCAGTTTTAAAGAGGCGGAAATGCAGACTGATGGGCTTGTGTCAGTTCTGGAAAAACCGTATGACCATTTAGGAGGCAGAACACCTGGACCTGATGGTAGAGGTCTCCAGAACATGGGGAGGATTCTCTAAGTCCTGACATGCCAATTTCCTTTCTGTTGTATTATATTACTAAACTGGAAGATCTGTGTAGTACACCAGTGGAAGGCACTTCTCATTTAGGTTAAATATTAAAAATAGGCCCAACCCTGACATCCTTGGGGTTTCCAGGATGGAGAAAGGTGTGTTGAATGATAGCATAACTAGATACTTTCATGGCTGACTGAGCAAGCATGCCCCAAAGGAAGTGGATCACACATTCATTCATCAAACACTTACTTTGCTTCTAGTATGTAGAGTGGACCTGAATTGTGCAGTGTCAGCATGGAGCAAACGGTATGCCACTACTCTATTTTTAGTTCTATCCTGTTCAACATTTTATTAATGTTTTGGTTATCATATTTAGAGGCAACAGAAGGCTGGAAGGGATGTGTAATCTATTATGGCAATTAACATTCAGACCTATCCTCAGAAGCTGTAAGAGATGGCACAAAACCAAAAAAAAAAAAAAAAAGGATTAATGAGCATAAACGTAAACGCCTGCCCTTGGTTTCAATAGCTCCATTAGTTTAGCAGTAGAGTGGGAGAGATCTGGCTTAAGACTGGTTCAAATGAAAGAGCCCAGGAACTTTTTGCTTGACCATACATTCGGAGTTTGGAATGGTGCTTAAAAACATGGACTAATTATAAGCTTCGTTAAAAAAGGCACGATGTCCAGAATCAGGGAATAAATACTGCAACAGTACATGGCCTTGGTAAAGCCACAGCTGAAGTACTG